TGATTTTTAAAAGAGTGGATGGATAATTGTTGCCCTTACATATATATATATATATAATATTTATATATGTATTATAGATATAACTAAATATTATTTCTCTAATACACGTTTATTAATTATTATTATATTTACTTTCATCGAATGTTATATACAAACATTCGTTATTTGGCAATTATTGAATAGTAATATTGTAATAGTTGAATAAAAAATTAAATAAATTATTGAACTTGAATTGACTATTCTTGGACACCGTAAAAATAAAAATTATATCTACTATAAACATTTACATAGTATAACAAATATTATCACGATCTACGTATAAATTAATTATCGATACAATATATATCGTATTTTATTATAAATATCTATCTATCTCTTATATATATATTATTACATAGATGGATGCATCGTATGTTTCGGATTTTGTTTTGGTATCCTTTCGACTACATCTTCCTCGACATCTCTCGAAATTTGATTCCATTTATCATCATTTTCTGTATCCTCGTTATCATGGACAGAATTTCTCCTATAACATGTTAACAAAATATATAAAAACGATATAAACAATAGGAAATTAATATTATTTTGATTAACATAATATATCCAATTATTATTGTTTTTTTACACGATAGATACGTATGTTTTTTGTTAAAAATAAAAATAAATTGGTTATAATATAAATATCGTAATATTATGGTGTACCTTTAAGTTCGTGCGTTTTTTTTTTAAATTAATATTTCCAAAGTAAATTTTACAAAAAAAAAAAAGAAAATCAAATTCATTATGCATTATAAAAAAGTAAAGTTTGAACAACACATTATAAACGCACGAATTTAATATAAAACGAATTATATTTAAAAATGAATATAATTAATAATGAAATTAATATGAGATCGTTAACTAACATGTATTTATTAATAGATGGAAGGAACAAAGATTTGGGACAATCTTTGAAATACGGCCAACACTCTCCATGTAATTTTCCTCTATTTTCGGCTTCGACGTATTCGTTGAGAATATTAGCGAATGGCGATTTGCTTGCCCTAATAAATAAATTAATAATAATTACGTTAAATTATATTAATGAACAATTG